TACCATAAAAAGTTCGTGGCGGTCTCACCCCCATAAAAAGTTATGGGGGTTCAAAGTTAATAAATATGCCAATTTTTATACATTTCTAGGCATGTAAATATTTATATAGTCATTCTTAAACAATATTCAAAGGTAAAACTAGTGGAAAAACACATAAAAATATTGAGAAAGTTATATAAAACATTATTTAAATATCTTTATCAATAGGGTAGGTTAGGTTAGGTTATCGAGGGGTGAGACCACCGCAAATTTTTTATGGGGTTTTACTCAGGTGACCACCCTTTTTCGACCCCCATCTAACCCCCATAACTTTTTATGGGGGTGAGACCGCCACGAACTTTTTATGGTACAGTGGTGAGGGAGACCTCCTCTTTCGATCTCACCCACCCCCACCTCCTTCCGGGGTGTTGGCTATCATCTAGACATGCATTTACCAAATTTATTAGAGTAAATCTATTTTTAAAATTCTGTAACTCATAGTGGTAGCGACGAATAAAATGAAATCAGTGGAAGGGTGATGAAAGACTAGGTATGAAATATTACTGAATCAGTATTTGATCAAGGAATCCCCAAAAAACTTTCACGAATGCAAGCGGACTCGATTAAACTAGGACCTAGGAAGTAAACCATGCTTAAACGCACGTTTCTTAAAACTTTTGTGTGCTTCATTCCCATCAGTTGCTAAATGCTTGTGGGTGGATAATTTCAATCCGGAGGTAGGAATCGTGGGAATGGATGGGTGGTGGTTGAGGTGAAAAAGATTAGACCTACGCGATCCAAGGAAACCTCAGAAAAACTTGGATTTGAGCACACACTTGCAATCTAAACTATTCTTTTGTTATTTGTAAGAAGCAGAGCATACTTTGATTAGTTAATTCTATTTTAATTTCTAATTATTTATTAGAGTAATAATCACAAACTGGATAGGGAAACCAAAAGAAGAAATTTTAGAACGCTAGGTATAAACAAGATTTGATGTTTTTGATAACAAAAGTTTTTAAGAATGACTTATCAGTAGAGATTTGTCGTGTTCGTGAACTCGTAGAAATATTTTTATCAATTTATCGATTACTTCCCCTTTGTATTCAAATGGTTAATAAGTGATTTAAATACGGCTCTGGGAACAAAGGCAATCGCCAGTTTTAACTTCAATTAATTGATAATATTATTAAAGGTTGTTAGTTCAATTGAATCTACTGTCATGTTATTCTACTTACGTGTATTTTATTCGTTTGAAATACATTTCTCTGTATATGTATGAGACCTGTTATCAATATTCTATTAAATATGAATCAATTTAAGTTAATTAAATTGTTTAAACATGAGTAATGACCAATAAAAGTAAAGAAATTATCAACACTTTTCAGCGCCCTTGTTTCTATATTAGCAAATTTTTCTCTCAGAATCCATGTTATTATAGGTACCTTATCGTCCATTTTTTACTAATCAATTTTGTTGAAATAAAGCGTAAGGTACTTCTGAATTAATTTAATATCATAATTCTTGAATATGCAATTAATCAGTTCTTTATCGATTGATATCAAGGCAATAAATTCCAAAAATAATAAAAGGTTCGAACCTTTGACCAAGAAAGGCAACTATTCGCTTACAGCTATAGTTAGTTAAAAACCTCAAAATTTTTATTGTTTTTTTTTGTGTAATAGCTAAGACTAAAAAGTTTTTTCGAAAGACTGCATCTTGAGAGCCCTGGTGGAAGCAAAAATATTGTCCAAAAAGGATTAAAATATTGATCAGCAAAAGACTAATCGATAACGATTAATAATAATTAAACTACGTTAATGATTCATTGCAAAAAAATTAAGCAAATATTGTACTGTTGTCAGAACTAAATGGCATGCAAAATTTTAGCTTGCTCGGATAACAGGAAGTGGCACAAAACTGATTTGCATTATTTGTAGCAGACACACAACAAAGCAAGCAAAATAGTAGTTTCTAAAAGGTATTTTGCAGATGGACATTGCGACTTTATTTTACTAATTTAACTCTGACTTTGGATACCTATGTGGACTGCTGTTTAATTTGCATTATAACTTGTATCAAATGGTTAAACAGTTTAATTAATAAACAAGCTTTTTCCTTATGTTGCACATTAATAATTAGTATGTAAATAATGTAGCGATAGTATTTTTTCTTACTTTAGATACACTGATACTGCGAATATTTGAATTGGAAATTTACCCGCTGATGTAATAATCTCATAGTGCAAGATTAAATTTTAAAAGTTATTTTAAAATGTTGCCTCATACAGTGGAATTATTAAACTATATTTAATTTGTTGCTGTATTTACATTTTGGAATATTGGTCATCAATAATTTCTATAAAATTTATAAACATAGATATTGATTCATATGGGAAATGTTGTAATATAGTTCAGGCACTTAATTTTTATTAGGAACTGTAGAAATCTAACAAGAATACAAATGAAAATATTCTATTGTTTTGATAACCATAACTGAAATAGAAAATGTGTTTTTGTTTGGAAGTTTACAAACAATAGGCTTATTAACTACCCTATAAAATTTTCATTTTAAAGTAATCCATCACATTTTCATTATAATCTTAGAAATAAGTAACTCACGCATTTGTGAATGTTTTAATGGTTTCAATTGTTTCCATAATATTTTATGGTGCAGATTGCAATATTTCAGCTTTTTGTATTTTCCTTTGAATTGTAATTAATTAACGTTATTTTTTCTTTTTTTCAGGTCAAATGTCTGGAAAACAACAATTCAAAAGAACAAGGCCATTGCATCTGGTATGGGGAATGTAACAAAAATGAGCTGGGACTCTCTCAAAATTGTGTGTACAATGGTACCGCAAAGCCCCTTAACGATGCTCAGGCTAAGGTCCTGATAGAAAAGTGGTGTCCAGAATTAGTAGGGCAGAATACATGTTGCGACGCAGCTCAATTGACAACCCTCGATAGAAACATCCAAATTGCTGCCAACTTTCTTAAACGATGTCCATCGTGCATGTACAACTTCGTTAAACACATTTGTTCCTTAACATGTTCTCCTGATCAATCAACTTTCATGGAAGCGAAGCAAATATTACCGTCAGAAACCAATAGTAAGTATTTAAGGTGGGGGGATAACCTCTTAACTCTCCTAATCGTTATACGCGTCTGTTTCCTTTCATAACATTTATGTTTTTAATCACTAACAAAAGAAATCTTTAAACCTCATTCTAAATAAAATAAAAAATGTTAATTCTGTGATGTTTAGATAAAAAATATAAAAACTATTCAGGGAATATTAAGATTCCTGCCAGATGATACCTTTTATTTTTCATTTTTCACTTTTCAGATTCGCTTTACATAAATTCCGTGGATGTATACCTTTCGAATCACTACATGGATGGCATGTATGACTCGTGTAAGCAAGTTAGCGTGCCAAGTACGGGTCAGTTGGCCATGGACATAATGTGCGGTGGCTGGGGTGCATCCAAATGTTCAGCTAGCCGACTTTTCCAATTTATGGGTAGCACCAACCTCAACCCTTACGCTCCCTTCCAAATTACATACATCAATTCATCTGAACCCGTTGGAAAATACGTGCCCAAGGATTTCGACATAGTACCTTGCAGTAAAGGCATTAGCGTAAGTGGTGTCATATAGAGTTTCTTAAAAATTAACGATTAGAAGAATGAAGCACTGACTTCATTATTTAGTAATCTCGTAAATTTTAGATTGTATATGATTTTGATGGCTACATCTATGAAAACATCTAATGTTAGATAAACATGAAGACTTCATTAGTTCTTGTCTGTCATTCTAAACAATTTATTTCAATTTTAGATTAATTCAGGTCAGCGAACTTAATGTTGCTTTTAATTTTAACGAATTCTGGGATTGGAAATGATAATTGGCTAATGAATCATTTATTAATATTCTAAGAGAAATACAATAATTATTGAAGAATTATAAAATTGAAGATAAATAATANTTTGCGAACAGTAATCTAATCTAGGTCTACCTCTACCCCTCCTAACCCCTGTTTCTGCCTCTAATATGTCTCTGACTAGATCTTCATGCCTGAGAAGATGTAATACCGACCTATCTCGCCTATTTTTTATTGACTTCCATAGAGTCCTCTATTCTCCTATTCTTTCCAATACCTCTTCATTTCTAACCTTTTCTAACCACGATATCCTCATCAACCGCGTATAACACCACATTTCGAACGCTTCTAACCTTTTCTTTTCCGCCGCGCTCACCGTCCATGTTTCGCACCCGTACAATGCCGTGCTCCCAAACATATACCTTTAACAACCCTTTTCGAATTTCTAAATTAACCGTTCGCGAGCATAGAAGTGACTTCTTTGAGAATAAAAACAATTTTATGTTATTTACTGTTTTAACAAAATAATTCTCTGTCAAACCATTATCCTTATGTGCCAGGTTGCAGACGACCCAGAGTGGGTATAATGTATTACCGTGTCAGCATGTGGCATTGGTTGCTGATAATAAATAAATAATAAGCTGATTCATCTTTTTTCATCCTGTAATTATGCTGATTTGATAATATCTATGCTGACTCGGATGACTACCAGGAAAGACTAATGATGATAACGTTGCATGGACCAAAGAATGGATAAGCACTGTGTACATAATTGAACTAAAACAATAATAACACTTACTGGCAGCGTCACGGTTCCCTACAGGTGTAACGACAAGTACCATCATTAGGTCGAGCCAGCAATACTACAAAATCAATTTTCCCAAAAGTTTTCCAAAATGTAGAACGAGAAAATTCGACAACTAGTCTGTGGAACTCCCTTATCTTTAAAGGCCGAATGTTTTTCTTGATTTCTGACGCAACCATTTTCTGTTGGTAGCTAAAAGTTGAAATTCAAATTTATGGTAAAGGTCTAGGTGACGGCCCCCACCCCATTCGGGGGTGGGGATGGGGGGATCGAAGGAGGAGGTCTCCCCCACCACTGTACCATAAAAAGTTCGTGGCGGTCTCACCCCCATAAAAAGTTATAAGGGTTCAAAGTTAATAAATATGCCAATTTTTATACATTTCTAGGTATGTAAAGCTGCAACATACCTGTAGTAAAACTATTTATTGATTAAAATAAAAAGGGTTGCTAAACAAAAGTTGACTTTATCAGTTTAATAAAAATATATTCGAAAAAACGAGGATTATTATAATAAATATCCATTTATCTAGAACAAATTTACATACAAAATGTGTTTAGTTTTACGATGAGCCGGCTATTATTCGATAAGGTAAACTGATAACACCATGTAATATATATATATAGGATGAGTAATGTTTACGAATGAGGTAAATTATCGTAGACTAATTTTATGATATCAAACTTTATATCGCCTGCTCTTAAAGTCGGTTACCATGAAACAGACTACGAACATCGTCGTAATATACAATTCATACGACTCCTTATTTATTAAAGAGGAATCTGTGAGAAAATTAGAAGCTATTAACATTTTATGACCTATCGTAAACTTTGCTTGATTGTAAAAAAAGACACTAGGTGCAAGATCCGACTTAATACGAATATTTTCGTTTATTATTTATACCTAGGGGAATGAATAGGTAATTTGTGCGACAGGGGAGTTTCTATGTAGTAAAATGTAATATGAATAACAGAGAAAATTCGTTGGATAATGTCTTCTTGAAAGTACTGAAAATTCTTGTTTTGAATGTCGTAAAGAAACAACCGAAATTTTATTGAAGTGAAACTTTAAATTTTGATCATTGTTGGACATCTAGTTATAGTTCTTAACACTGGTTTTATTTATCTTACAGCTATCATTAGAAGATTAAAATAATTCGAAGTGGTCTGTATTTTGTCGAAACTGCCAGACGCGGATCGCGATTTCGATCTTTTTGGACCTCATCAGCGCGCCCCAGACAGCTCCGACAGAACACAGACCAACTTTTACCTGCTGTCTGAACAGCGCGTTTTAGAAAATACCACAAATGGCGTGAAAAACGCCATCTCTAGTACGATGCTACATTTTAGGATTACGTATGCTCCAACAAGGTCCATTTGTGTGGATATCTACTTGCTGAAACGAATCCCGGCGTAGCTAACCTCAACGTGATAGGCACGTTACCATAATCGAATAAAATAATTCGAAGTGGTCTGTATTCTGTCGAAACTGCCAGACGCGGATCGCGATTTCGATCTTTTT